CCCCGCCCCCTCCCTGCGCCGCCCCTCCCCCCCCAATCAAACCCCCCCCGCGAACGGGGCAACGCGGGTTTATTGCGGGGTGGGGGAGGGGCGCCGCGCCCCCCTCCTCCCCATCAACGTGAACGTGAAACAAAAAAATAACAACAAAATACAAATAAACGCGAGCGGGGGGGGGGGTGGGTCGGGGGGGTGAGGGGGCAGGATTCCCCCCCCTCGGCCCTTCCCCACCCCTTTTTGGCCCCTCCCCCCCCTACAGCACGATCCACGTGTAGCGCTCGTTGTCCGCCAGCACCTTCAGGGAGCAACCTGGGGGGGGGGAGGGGCGGGAGGGGGGGTTGAAGGTGGGGGTTTTATTATAGGGGGGGGAGGGATGGGTCCTCGCCCCTCCCCCCGCCCCTCCCCCACCTTTGTGCAGGGCCTCGTTCGTCATCCGGTTCACGTAGCGCGCGCTGCTCTCGGGCACGAGCCAGCGCATGACCGTGTCCACGCAGCCCTTGCGGTACCCGCTCCAGACGCTGCCGCTGGAGGGCGCCGGGGGAAGGGGCGGAGTCATCGGGGAAAGGGGCGGGGCTAAGGCTCGACCCCTCCCCCTCCATCGCGGCGCCCGATGCTCCACAACGGCCGCAAAGCTTCCCCAAATTGCCCCCAGATTGTCCCCGTGCCCACCCAGCTTGCCCCAACTCCACCCAAACTGCCCGAAATCCAACCAAATTGCCTCATATCCACACAAATTACCCTAAAACCCACCCAATATGCCTAAAATCTCCACCCATTGCCCCCACATCTACCCAAATTGCCCCCAAATTGACCTATCACCCCCTAGATTTTTCCCAATCCCAAGTAAATTGCCCCCAAATGCACCCACAGTGTCAGAATGGCCCCAACCCTGCCCCAAACCCATCAAATTTCCCCCAAACCCATCATATTGCTCCAAAACTGCCCAAAAGCCCTCCAAAGATGTCCCAAAACTCCCCCAAATTGCCCCATAACTGCCCCAACCCCCCCCCCCCATCATATTGCCCCCAAACCACCCAAAACTGCCCCCAAACCTTCAAAGATGCCCCCAAATTGCCCCACAACTGCCCTAAACCCCAAGCCCCCCCCACCTCGTCTGCCCCTTGACCTCAGTGAGGTCCCCGACGCCGACGGTGACGAAGGCGCCAGTGTTGAGGTCCCAGGCCACCTTCAGGCTGGGTGTGGTAGGTCTTTGGTCTGGGGGGGGGGCAAAGGGGGGGGGTCAGTGGGGGGGGAGGGGGGGGTTTGGGGGTGTCTGTGTCCCCCCCTCACCTCAATTGTCCCTCCTCACCGGGGAGGGGAAGGCCCAGGAGCAGGAGCCCAATGTTGATGACAACCTGGTTTGGTCTCAGGGCAAACCTGGGGGGACAAAGAGCGGTGATGGGGGGCGATGGGGGCCACAGGGATGCCATGGGGGGAACAGGGGGGTCCCCACCTCGAGGATGACGATGTCATAGTCGCTGAAGGAGCAGAACTGCCGGGCCCAGGCTGCGTCGTGGCGAATGACCTCATTGATGACGTACTCGAAGTCCAGCGTGAGCTGCTCCACAGCCAGGAACTGCTCCTGGGAATGGGAATAGGAGCGGGAATGGGAATTGGAACGGGAAATGGGAACAGGAATAGGGAATGGGAATTGGAATGGGAACAGGAATGGGAAGGAGAATGGGAACAGGAATGAGAAAGGGAATGGGAAAAGGAAAAGGAATAGGGACAGAGTAGGGAACAGGAATGGGAATAGGGTCCCACAGGGGACCCCCCCCAATGGCACCCACCGGTGCCACTGCTCGCTCCTTGAGCGGCTTCAGGCTGCGGCCACGCAGGTCGGTCACCAGGAAGGGCAGCGAGATCTTGTCGTCCTCCAGCTCTGGGGGGACCCCAAAATCAATGGAGGGACCCCAAAATCAATGAGGGACCCCAAAATCAATGGGGAACCCCAAAATCAATGGGGGTCCATGCCTGTGCTCACCCTCTCAGCTGGGCCAGGCTCCAGCACATAGCGCAGTTGGGTGTAGTTGATGTACCCGGGCTCAGGGGCCCGGGGGGGGTCCCATGGCCTGGGGGGACGTGGGGTGGGGGGGCAGCGCCCCAGCACTGGTGGGGGGGTGGTGGAGGGCAGGGAGGGCCCCTCGGGGGTGCCGATGGCGCCGTCCTCATCCTCATCCTCGTCCCCCCCCAGCCCCGGGGTCCCCTTGGCGCGGCGGAAGAGATCGGCCACGAACTCCTTTGCTTTGGCCACTGCTGGCGATGGGGAGGGGGCTGGAGCCGGTGCCCCCCCCGCCGGGTGCTGCACCCCGGGTCCCGTTCTAGCCCCTCCTCTGGGGCCTGGGGGGGCGCCGGTGCCGGGGGGCTCCGGTGCCCATAGAGGATCTGGGAGGAGCTGGCATCGCCTGCAATGGGATGGGGAGGGTGAAAGGGGGGTGGGTTGGGGGGGGGGGGGTCTGGTTGGGGTCTGTGGGTCCGGGGGGGGCCCCACCGGCGGCACGCACGGCCACGGCACAGGCCACGAGGGAGTAGCTGGTGTTGAGCAGCACGACGTGGTCCCGCTTGAGCTGGAAGGCGGGCTGGAAGGTGGGGAAGGGGTACACGACCTGGTACTTGGTGTGCAGCATGAAGCCATGGCACAGGCACTGTCGGGCGCCGGCGCCTGCAGGGGGAGCAGAGCCTCAGCACCGGCACCAGGGGTGGCGGGGTACTGGCTCTCACCGGGGGTATTGGCGCTCACCGGGTGCCGGCGGCAGTGCCGCGGCCCGGCACACAGCGCAGTGCAGCGGTGCTGGCGTGGCCACGATGCTGATGTAGATGTCACGGTGGTTCTCGTCGCTCAGCATCATCATGTTGAGGAGCAGCCCCGTGGCCGAGCGGGTGCTGGGGGGAGAAGGAGGAAGAGGAGGGGGGTGAGGATGGAGATGGGGGCAGGGATGGGGGTGATGGTGGGGGTGGGGATGGAGATAGGGATGGGGATGAAAATGGGGATGAGAAAGAGGATGAGGATGGCAAAGTAGATGGCGATGAAGATAGATGGATGGGGATGAAAAGAGGCATGGAGGTGAGGATGCTGATGGGCAGGGCAATGGGGATGAAAACCGGGATGGCACTGAGGATGGAGACAGGGATGAGATAGATGGATGGGGATGGAAATGATGATGATGACAGAGATGAACATGGGATGAAGATGAAGGGAATGAAGATGCTGGGGATAGGGATGAGGATGGGGATGAAAATAGGGATGCACACTGATGGGGATCGAAATGATGATGAAGATGAAGACGGGAGTGAAAACAGATGGATAGTGACGGGCATGAAGATGTTGGGGATAAGGATGAGGATGGGGATGGAGATGGATGGGGATGAAGATGGATGGGGATGGGGATGAGGATGGGGATGAAGATAGGGATGAAGATGGGGATGAAGATGGATGAGGACAGGTATGAGGATGGGGATGAACACAGGGATGCAGATGGATGGGGATGGGGATGAAGATGATAGGGATGAGAATGGGCATGAAGGCAGGGATGCAGACAGATGGATGGGGATGAGGATGACGACCCCCAGGCGGGCTCACTTGAAGCCGAACACGATGACCTTGGCGGTGTCGCTCGGCCACTCGCACACGGTCAAGTAGAGATCGCTGTAAATCTCCTCGTCCTGGAAGAGCCGGACCTGACGCACCTATGGGGGGCGGGGGATGAGCTGGGGTGGGGGGGACACCCCAAAACCCCCATCCCCAGGGGTGCGTGTCCATGGGTGCGCTGGGGGGGCGGTACCAGCTTGAGCTTGCTGTGGACGTTGAACTCCCACCAGTACAGGTGGTAGATGTAGAAGGAGAGATCATCATCGCTGCTGTTGCTGGTGTAGGAGAGGACGTAGCGGCCGCACTTGGAGAAGCCCAGGAAGATGTGCCTGGAGGGGGGACATGGGGGGCGATGGGGGGGGTACAGGGGGGGACATGGGGTGGGGACACATGGGGAGCCCCCCCAGCCTCACCCCACACGCAGCAGCTCCTCATCCACGATGCTCTTGAGGGAGACGCAGACGCGCGGCGGCAGCTTCCTGAAGAGCCTTGGCGAGAGCTGCCCATAGAGCTGTGGCGTACAGGATGCATTGCTGTCACATAGCACCCTTTGCTGCCCATAGCACCCCACTGCTATCCCATAGAGCCCCATAGCACTCCATTGCTGTGCATAGCACCCCACTGCTGTCCCATAGAGTCCCATTGCTGCTCCATAGTCCCCCATTGCTGCCCCATAGCTGCTCCACAGTACCCCATTGCTGCTCCATAGCACCCTATTGCTGCTCCATAGCACCCTATTGCTGCTCCATAGTGTCCCATTGCTGCCCATAGTGCCCCATTGCTGTCCATAGCACCCCATTGCTATCCCATAGAGACCCACTGCTATCCCATAGAGCACCACTGCTGCTCCACAGCACCCTTTTGCTGCCCATAGTGCCCCACTGCTGTCCATAGCACCCCATTGCTATCCCATACCACTCCATTGCTATCCCATACCACTCCATTGCTATCCCATAGCACTCCATTGCTGCCCCATGGCACCCCATAGCACCCCACAGCGCCCCATAGCACCACGCTGTAGCCCCACTGCCCTGCCCTGTGGCACGGAGCACCCCGTGCCCCCTTCCCCCCCCATGCCCCCGCGCTGACCCTGCCGCGCTGCAGCTGCCGCAGGAGGTGCTCCCGGCGCGCGCGGGCCCCGCTTCCGGCCGCGGCTCCCCCCGGGCCCCGCCTCCCGCCGCCGCCGCCGCCGCCGCGCTCCGCGTTCGAGCTCGGCGCCATTTTCCCCCGGCCCCCCCTCCTCTTCCGGAGCGCCCCCGCCCCCCCCGACACCGCCCGCCCCCGCCGCTCCCCCATTGGCCGCCACGCCACCGCCCGCGCCTCTCATTGGGCGAGCCGGCGGAGCGAGGCTGCCGCCTCCGATCCCGTTGGCCCGCCGCTGCTGACAATCCCCAGGGCGCGGACCAATGGGGACTCAGCGCCCGGCGGCGCGCACGCAGCGATTGGCTCGGCCTCCCGCCCGTCCGCTCTTGGCGCGGTTGCCATGGAGACGAGGCATCGGCGGGGTGGGGGAGCCGTTGCCATAGCGACGGGGAGATGCTGCCCAGGATTTGGGGGGGGATTGACCAAAACCCGCGGTTTTTTGCCTTAAAACCTTTATAGAGTCACGTGTGAGGATGCAGAAGGAGCCCCAGGCCCCCCCCGCGCCCCCCGGGGCAGGCACTTGGGGGGGGGGGGACGACAAGGGGGGGGCAAAGTGCTTATGGGGGGGCTGGAGCAGCTCCAGTCCCTGTGATTGTCACTGCAGCGCCGGGGGGGGCTCATCCATGGAGCTTCTGGAGCTGGAAAAGAGGGGGGGAAAGAGGGGGAAATGGGGGGGGGGGGGAATAGGAGGAAATGCGGGAATAATGGGAGGGAATGGGGGGAGAATGGGGAATCCCCCCAAAGTGCCCCCCCCGGGAGCCGCCCCCACCTCGTTCTGCACCAGGTTTCTCTTGTAAAGCGGCTCCTTGGCTGCATCCTGTGGGAAGGTGGGGTCCCATGGGTGCTGGGGGGGGGTGGCACGGGAGGGGGCCCCTTCCGCTTGCCCTCAGAGCTCTCAACGCCAGCACAGGGATGGGATCAATGGGAGGGGGGAGCCGGAGAGGTCAGTGGGGAAGAGAAGGGGGAAAAGGGAAGGAAATGTGGGAAGGGGGAAGCAGGAAGGGGACGCGGGAAGGGGGAGCGGGGTCACACAAGGCCACAGGGACCGATCGCATCCCACACTTGCCTGTTCCCAGTGCCGTTCCCGGCGCTGTTCCCTGCCATTCCCAGCAGTTCCTGGTGCCTGGATCACCAGCCAGGGCTCGGTGCGCGGCCGCAGCTCCGGCGCTCCCAGTGGCTCCCGCAGACGTACCAGCACCTCCAGGGTCCCACCGGTGCGGCGCCGTCCATCCAGGAGCTGGGAATTGTGGGGGGGAACATTCCCGGTGGGAAGTGGGAATGGGGTGGGAAGCCCTGCATGACTCCCCCCAGCTCGGATCCCACCATTCACCTCCAGCACCTCCCGGACCTCACACGTGGTCTCCAGCGCATCCAAGCGCAGCGAGGCCGAGCCCAGGATGCGGTCAGGCTTGAAGAGTCCCCTGGGATCGGGGATCAGGAATGGGGATTGGGAAGAGGCAGGAGGATGTGGGGAGGGGAAACGGGGTCTAGGGGGGTCTCCCCATCTCTTACCCCTTGTGGGTCACCTCGAACTTGATGCCTTTGGAGCGCAGGACACGGCGCAGCCCCCGGTGCCCTCGGAGCAGCCGGAGCCGGAACCGCTCCCGGAACTCTGCACCGGCACAGCAGGATGTGGGGCTGGGAATGGGGGGACTTGGGCACGGGGGGGCTGCGCTATGGGGCAGGGGAGGCCCAGTGCCGGTTACCAGGACAATCCGTGCTCTTCACAGTGGCTGTTTTGTCCCGCTGGGGCTCCTCCTGCAATGGGAGCATCAGACCTGGATGGTCCCAAGGCTCCGGCTTGGGGCTCTGGGACCCCCACTCACCACGCTGGGATGTGGGAACTCGAACCGCACTGACGTGTCCAGGTCCTTGGGAGCCAAACCTGGAATCATGGAATGGGATCCTCCAGTCCCCGGGGCAGGGACGCCTTTTCCCTTGGGATCCCCCCCAGTCCATGAGGATTCTCCCTCTCCCTGCACCGGCTCCATCGAGGCTCACCCTGTGGTGCCGGGAGGTTCATCCCCTTCATTATGGCCAGCTCCAGGTCGCTGGGGCTCAGCTCCGGGAAGCTCCTGGGAATGCCAGGATCCCATTGGAACACGAGCGGCGGCGCTGGAGCCGCAGGGGCCGGGGCTGCGGTACCTGATAGTGGTGAAGGTTCGCTGCTCCTGGTGGTGCCGCGGCACCGGGGCGCCAGCGGCATGAGCCCGTTGGAGCAGCTCCAGGCTCCGGCGGCATTCCTGAGCCAGCGCCTCGAACCTGCCGGGAATGTGGTCCCGGATGAGCAGCAGCTCCGGAGCGGCTCCGGCTCCAGCTCCGGATGCACTCACTTGGTCGTCTCCGTGAGGTTTCCCAGTTGAGTGAATTGCTTGGAGTGACTGAGGCAGATCTGGGATCAGGAAGGGGAGGGAGGGGGGAAAAATGGGAAAAGGAGGAGGGAAAAGGGAGGAATAAAGGGGGAAATAAATGGGAGGAGAAGGGAGGAAGCAGAGGGAGAAGGGGGGAAAAGGGAAGCAGGGAGGAAGCAGGAAGGAAGCCGCTTGTTTCCTTCCTCCTCACTCCCCCTCCCTCCTCCTCACCTCGTGCTGGCGCCGGAGCAGCCGCAGCAGCTCCAGGAACCGTGCAGCCGCTTCCGGCGGGATCCTGGCGCCAGAGCGCGGTTCCAGCAGGAAGAACTCCGGGAATCCCGGCGCCTCCGGCACCTGTGGCACAGGGAGCCAATGGGTGGGGATGGGAGGGGGGTGGGATGGGGATGGGATGCAGTGGGATAGGATGCAGTGGGATGGGATGGGATGCAGTGGGATGGGATGGGGATGGGATTCAGTGGGATAGGATGCAGTGGGATGGGATGGGATTCAGTGGGATGGAATGGGGATGGGATGCAGTGGGATAGGATGCAGTGGGATGGGATGGGATGGGGATGGGATGCAGTGGGATAGGGATGGGATGCAATGGGATGGGATGGGTATGCGATGCAGTGGGATGGGGATGCAATGCAGTGGGATGGGGATGGGATGCAGTGGGATGCTGACAGGATGCAGGGGGATCTCAGGGGGCTCATTGCCCCCCTGACCTTGCTGATGTCCACAGGAAGGCCGCGGCGCGAGGCCTCCAGCGCCGGCTCCAGCGCTTTGGCCCGGCGCAGGAACAGCTTCGCCCCCTCCAGGTCCCCACGGCGCTTGGATCCCAGAGCAGCTTCCAGGAGCTGCTCCCGCCGGGATTGCAGGAAGCGAAGCTGCTGCTGGGCTGGGGAGGCAGGAGAGGGGGAACAAGCAAGGTGGGGGCCACACTTTGCCTCCAGCCCCAGCCCCACTCCCACCACAGCCATTCCCGGTACCTCTGCTGCCGGCTTTGGTAGCTGCTCTGGTTGCTCCGGTCACATCCATGTCTCCGGATGGGGGCAGCTGCTGGGGCTGGGAACGGCCGCTGGTGGCACTGGGATGGGCCGGGATCTGTGCCGGGATCAGCAACTCCTTGGCTCCATCCTCCCCCTCGTGCTCCTCCTGCCCCACAAGCCTCAGTGCCTGCTCCAGCACTGCCGCCATGCTCCGCTCCCCGCCTGCATTCGTGCCATGGATGGGCTGGAAACCTGGGAAAGCGGTGGGAAAACCCCAGGAATGGCGCCAATGGGATGCGGATCCTCGCCGGGATGCACCCACGGATGGGGGGAAACCGGGAATGGTACCTGGAGGAACAGGAAGCTCCGAGAGATCCACGGGTTTCCCGGTGGTGTGGGCCCGGATGGCCTCTTGGTATTGCTGGAGAATAATATCCAATATTATCAATGTTGTTATAACGATTATTTATAATTAATTAATTATGGGTTGGGATGAGGATGGGATGTGATGGGGGTGGAAATTAAAACATTACTTTTTAGTTCTATTATAATTAATCAATGTTAATTGCTCATTAACCAATTGGGAGGCGGGAGCTGAGAGCGCTCCAGGGGCTTCGGTACCTTCACAATGCGCTCATGCATCCGGGCCTTGCGCGCGTCCCCCCGCATGCCGGCCGCTGCCGCCGCTTCCTCGTAGCGGCGCATCCGGAGCTGCAGCGCTGGGAGCACGGCCCCGGAGCCTGGGACGGGAATGGGGATGGGATGGGAATGGGGATGGGATGGGAGTGGGATGGGGATGGGAGTGGGATGGGGATGGGAATGGGGATGGGTATTGGATGGGTATGGGATGGGGATGGGGATGGGAATGGGGATGGGGGGGAAGGGAGGTTAAAGTGCATCCAGGCCCTATGGGCACTTTGCACTAGAGCAGGGAGCTCCGACTCTGCAGAGATGGAGCATCCCAGCCTGGAGCATCCTAATCCCGGAGCCTTCTCTTCTCCAGGCTGGACAGCCCCAATATTCCCAGCCTGGCTTTAGGGTGTCCCAGCACCCTGCTATGGGGCAGGGGTGTCAGGGCTCTGACCTGCACTGGAAGGAGAAGCTGGTTTGGCCTCTGGCTCCGCAGTGGGATGCGGCTCCGGCTCCTCCGGGAGTGGATCTGTGGGGATGGGAGGGATGGATCCGGCCCGAGGAGCACCGGGAATGCCACCGGGAATGCCACCGGGAGCACCGGGATTTACCAGGAGGTGGCGGCACGAGGCTGGGCTCCACCGGCTGCCCCTTGGCCACAGCATCCAGGAGAGCATCAAACCTCTGCCAGAGCAAAGCGCAAAGAGCAAACCCCCCTGGCATTCCCATGGGAAGCCCAATCCAAGCAGAATTCCGGACGTGCCGGTGCCGTACCTTCGCCTCCCGATAGCATTTGGTGGCCGTGGCCATGTCCCCGCTGCGCTTGGCCTGGAGAGCCAAGACCTTGTATTGGTGCTGGCGGCTCCGGAGCTCCTGGGAATGCTGGATCCGTTGGGATGCGGCCGCATCCAGCCTGGAAACCTCCTCTGGGGGGGAAGGGGGCACCGGGGGGGGGCCCGGAGCCCTTCCCAGCGCCACTGGAGGGGGAATTTCATCCTCCTGGATGGGTTTTCCCTTCCTGACGCATTCCAGCATCGCCTCCAGCGTCTGCGGGGGGCACAGAGGGGCTCAGTCCCATCCTCGCCCCCCAAATCCCATGGGATAACTCATGGGAAGGGGAAGCCTGGAGGGAAACCAAGAAGGGACGGGGAGGAAAGGGCCAGAAACTGAAGGAGCACCCCAGGGCCATGATCCCCAAGGGCTGGATCCCAGCAGGAATGGAGCCTCTCCTATGGGATCCCTTGGGCTCACCTTGAGGCCCCTCTGGAAGCGCCGCAGCCGCGGGCCAGGGCTGGTGCTGGCGATGGCGGCCCGGTACAGAGCTGCCCGCTCCTGCAGCAAGGCCTCGGTGTTCCCAAGCTCCGGAGCCGACACCTGCGGACCGGGATCAGGATGGACCCATCCGGATCCATTCTAATGGGGAATGAAAAGGGCTGGGGCTGCCTCTGGGCCCTTCCACCAAGCCAGGCTCCTCGGGATCTCTCCGGATCCCATCCCTACCTTGGCTGCAGGCTCCGGTGTGTCCACGCTGCCCAGCACCTCCCGCAGCTCAGCCTGGGGAGCACCAGGAGCCCCTTTAGCGCCATTCCAAGCGGGAATAGCCCCTTTTTGGGATGAGGATTCCTCACCATGAGCCCGTCTTCATCCGCCCCCTCCTCCTCCTCCTCCGGGTCCTTCATGCACAAAGCAGCCATGGCCTCGATCGCCTCCATTCCCAAGGGAGCTGCTGGAGCAGGGGCAGACCTGATCTAACTGGATCCCAATCCCGTCCCGATCCCATCCCGATCCCATCCTGGTCCCATCCTGATCCCGATCCCGTCTCGATCCCATCCTGATCCTGATCCCGATCCCGTCTCGATCCCATCCCGATCCCGACCCCCGGATCCACGCTCACTTCCTGCTCCAGCCGCTGTCAACAACACGCCGCGCTTTACGTGCGCCGCCGTCGCAAAAGCCGCTGTCGTTATCAGCACGGCTTCGCTTGACGGCGGCTCCCCCACGGGAGGTGGTGCGGGGGGGGGGGGAAGACTACAACTCCCAGCGTGCCCCGCGCCGCGCAAGTGCATGGGGAGCGGGGGGAAAAAGGCGGGAAAGCTTGAGGTGAGGCGGCAAGATGGCGCCTGCCCCGGGGGCAGGGAACGGGTGAAAATGGGTGAAAACCGGTTAAAACCGTTTCAAACGCCTTTGGTTTCGCCTCAGACCCGAGGGCGGTGGCGATCCGGCCGCGGCGGGGCTGAGCTGGGCCCCGGCTCCGGGCGAGGGCGGCCAACGGCCCCGTTAATGGTCTTGTTAATGGCTCCATTGATGGCCCCATCATGGCCCCGTTAACGGTGCTCATCACTCCTTGTGTTCTGCCCCCTCAGGCGAGCGGCAAGGGATGGGCAAGAGGAAGAAGGAGCCGGCGGCAGGTAACGGGGCGCCTCGCTTCACGCCCTGGTGTCGGTAACCGCCGCCCCCCCTCCGGCACCGTCCTTCCAGGCCCGTTAGAGCCCAAAACCCAGGTCCCGTCACCCGGGAGCCGGCGCTGACGGGGCCGGTTCCCCTCCAAGGTGCAGCCGGTGAGCACAGCGTCCCCAGAGCCAAGCAGATGCCTCCGGAGGCGGCGGGAGAGGAGGCTCCGGTCCCAGGGGAGGAGGCTCCGGTCCCGGCCGCTGGGAACCCCCCGGGGCTGAACCGCGGCGCGGAGCCGGGGCCGCCTCCCTCAGGATCTGATGCCGGTGCTGGACCCAAGGAGGAGCCGCTGGAAGAGCCCCGGGATGAGGCTCGGGACGAGGACCCGGATGACCTGCAGGAGGAGCCGCGGGATGACCATCGGGATGAGCTGCAGGAGGAGACCCGGGATGAGCAACAGGAGGCCCGGGAAGAGACTCGGGATGCGCATCAGGATGAGCTGCAGGAACCGCAGAATAAGCCCCAGCATGAGCTGCAGAAGGAGCCCCAGGATGAGCATCGGGATGAGCTGCGGGAGCTGCAGAAGAAGGTTCGGGATGAGCCCTGGGATGAGCATCAGGATGAGCCACAGGAGCTGCGGGAGGAGGCTCGGGATGAGCCGCAGGAGGCTCGGGATGAGCCCCGGGAGGAGCTGCTGGAGGAGCCCCGGAATGAGCATCGGGATGAGCTGCGGGAGGAGCTTCGGGATGAGGATCAGGATAAGCCCCAGGATGAGCTGCAGTTGGAGCCCCGGGATGAGCCTCAGGATGAGCTCCGGGAAGAGCCCAACCAGGAGCTGCCGCCACAGCACAAGGTAAATCCATGGCAGGAGCAGACTGCCCGGGAATAACCCCCCAGGACTCCTCAGTCTGCCTGAAACGACCTGGAAAAGCGGGAATAACGCGGCTCTGTGCTCGGAACAGGGGGGATTCAGGCTCATGGGCCCCAAGGGCAGGTTGGACACAGGGCTTAGAGCACCCTGCTGCAGTGCAAGGTGTCCCTGCCCGTGGGTTGGAGCTGGATGAGCTCCCTTCAACCCAGCCCATTCTCTGTTATCCCACAGGAGCTCGTGGACACCGGGCACCGCTCTGAAGAGGCCCCGAGGTGGGTGCCCCACGGGCTGCTCCGTGCTCCCGGTGCCGGGAAGAGCAGGAATGGCGACAACCCCCCCCCCCTCCCCCCCCCCCGTTCCTCGTGTGCTCCATAGGGACGACGCGACCGACATCGTCTGTGGCCTCATCCAAGAGCTCTCGGACCTTAAGTAAGGTTTTTCCCAAGGGATTTGGGGTGGGATTCGGGGCCGTGGCGGGGGCTGACGCGGCGCCCACCCCGCAGCCGCTTGGCCATGGGTGCCCACCGGGGCCTGGAGGCGCTGAGGAGGCCGAAGCCGCGGCGGAGCCGGCGCCCGGCGCCGCTGAACCCCGGGAGAAGGCGGATGGAGACGTAGGAGTGGGGTAAGCCCCCGGGGAGCCCCTTTATTACCAAAGGGGGCTCGAACAGAAAATAAACAGTGTGCCAAAACGCGTCCAAATCCCAACAAACCAACCCAAAACACAACTGAACCCAACCGTGGCGCCAGTACAACTCCCCCGGGGTCGGTACAACTCCCCCCCGGGGGCGAGTACAACCACTCGGGAGGCGGTACAGCCCTCCCGGGGGCCGGTACAGCCATCTTGGGGGCCGGTACAATCCCCCCCGAGTCCAGTTTCTCATCAGCGTCCAGCGCCGTTCCTGCCGTCCCGGTCTCCCGCAGTCAGGAATGGGTCACTGGTGCGGGTGGGAAGCGCCGTCCCGATGTCTCTCTCTGGAAGAGCAGCAGGGTGCGAGGCTCATCCATGCAGCGGGAATCCCGACCCCCCCCCCCATCCCCGGTCGCCGCCGTTACCTGCGCCCCGGTGCCGCCCGTCAGTGCTCGCTGCTCCCGGTGCCGCGGCTGGGCCGGCTGTAGACGGAGGCGTAGCCGCGGCGGGTGAGCGGGCAGAAGCGCCGCGTGTGCGCCCGGTCCTCGGTGGCTCCACACTGCGGGCACACGTAGCTCCGCAGCACCGGGCACAGCACCCGGCCCGCCGCGTCCCGCAGCCGGTGCCCGCTGTACACCTGCTTTGCCTCCCCGTTGTGCCTGCAGAAGGTGCATCCGCCACCACCGCTGCTGCCACCGCCATTCTGCCCTCCTGGTGCTGCCGCCGCCGCCTCCGTGCGCCGCAGCGCGGCCACCACGGCCGCCAGCCCCAGGTAATCTCGCCACAGCTCGAATCCCCGCTCCCCCGGCTCCATCCCGCCGGCAGTCCCGCACCGGCACCACCGTGTGCCCACTGCCCTCGGCGGAGCCACCAGGAGCGGCCAATCCCGGCACCCGCCCTGGAGCCGCTGCGTCTGCCCAAGGGACGGGGGGCCCCTTTCCCTACCGCCGGGTCCCACCCTTTGGCCCCAGCCGGGACCTCCCCCCCGGCGGCGCCAGACGCCGTTGTCATGGGCAAAACGCGTTTGAACGGGAAAAGCCACGTTTTCACACGTCTCAAAGCACGTCGGGGTGCGCGAACCCGGCGTCTGCCGGTGCCTTCGGGGTAAAAACGGCCGGGATTGGGTGAAGCGGCAGTGGGGAGAAGGAAGGGAGGGGGGAGTGTGGTTTTGGGTGGAAAACGAGGAATTTTGGCGTCGAACAGTCCCGGTAGCGCCGTTCCGCCGGGGGAGGGGGGCGGGGGGGGGGCCGCGGGTCAACTCAGGGCAGCGGCTCCGCCCATTGGCCGCAAGCACCGCCCCGCCGGCTCTCATTGGCTGCCTGCAGAGTTGGGCACTCCCTCTCGTTGGTCACCGCCCCGCCGGCTCTCATTGGCTAGCGTGTGGGCCGGGGGTTAACCCCGGCGGTGCCGGGGGGGCGGTGAGGAACACGCGCGGCGTGACGTCACAAAGCATGGCATGGCGTCACAAAGCACGGCATGGCGTCACAAAGCGCAGCATGACATGGCTCTGCAGGAGGTCACATGGTGTAACACGGCTGGACACGCTATCACATGCATGAGCAGGGGGACAAAGACAGCAGTCACGCAGCGCCGTAGCGTGTCCTGCCATGTCACGCTACGTCATGCCATGCTCGTTATGTCATACAATGTCACGTTACATCATGGGCTATGGTGTCTGGAGCCGCCCTGGGGTGACTCATGGGCACGAGGCTGCTCGGGGGGGGGGAGGTGCTGTGTCACACACTCCCCCCCCCCCGGGCTACCCTCCCTCCTCGGGATACCCCCCCCGGGGACACCCAGAGCCGGGGGGGGGGGGGGGGGGGGGCTGCCCGGTGCTGCCGGTGACTCACGGCCTGAGTCAGCCCCACACAAACACGGGGTTACCCGGCAACGGCCCCTCTGCGACCCACAGCCAGGCACAGCAGGACCCACAGTGACCCATAGAGACCCATAGCGACCCATAGAGACCCACAGCGACCCATAGAGACACACAGTGACCCACAGAGCCACTCTGAGAACCACAGCAGGACCTACAGAGACCCATAGAGACCCATAGAGATACCCTGAGACCCACAGCTGGACCCACAGCAACCCATAGAGACACCCTGAGACCCACAGCAGGACCCACAGTGACCCATAGAGATACCCTGAGACCCACAGCTGGACCCACAGTGACCCATAGAGATACCCTGAGACCCACAGCAGGACCCACAGAGATATAGAGATCCACAGTGACCCACAGAGACCCATAGAAACACCCTGAGACCCACAGCCCTCACCCACCGCTCATCCTCATCCCTGTTTCCAGCTGGGCCACATTTTGTCACACTATGTCATGCGACACCATGCAGTTACATGCGTGTCATTGCGCTTACACGTATGTCCATGCCGTTACATGCACATCCATGCAGTGCCACACATGTCCATGCGGTGCCACACGTGTCCGTGTGCCACCGCAGTGGGGCCGGGGCTGACTCACACGTGTGGAATGCGGCGTCCGGCTCCATTGCCTAGAAAGGACACGTCTGTGCACGGAGCCTTCACATGTGTGTGCAAGCATGTTCCATGCCCATGTGTGCACACATGGATGTGCAAGCGTGTTCCATTCCCATGTGTGCACACGTGGATGTGCTAGTGTGTTCCATGCCTGTGTGTGCACACAGAGATGTGCGTGTTCCATGCTCATGTGCACACATGAATGTGCGTGTTCCATGCCTGTGTGTGCACACATGGATGTGCAAGCATGTTCCATGCCCGTGTGTGTACACACATATACATGCATGTGCTGCACGGGACAGGGGCTCCATGGCATGTGTGTGGTGTGTGCAGCAGCCCCGCATGCATATGCTCCAAGGCCATGTGCAGCCCCACGCATGTCCGGCCTCAAATGCATGTTTCATGAGGTGGCTCCTGCCCAGATGTGGGGCCACTGCCAGATGGGGGGGAGGGGGGGTGGGGGTGGGGACCCATGCGGGTTCCAGGTTCCCCCCCCCCAGGGACTTGCATTTGGGACCTTCCACTGGGGGGGGAGGGGGGGGTTAACCCCCAGGGCAGCTGGGCTGGGTCTCACTGGCCCCACACCCAATGGTCCTGGGGTGTGCTATAGGGCAGGGCTGTGCTATGGGGCTGTGCTATGGGGCTGTGGGTGGTATGGGGCTGGGGTGTGTTATAGAACTATACTGTGGGGCAGGGCTGTGCTATGGGGCTGGGGTGTGCTGCGGGGCAGGGCTGTGCTATGGGGCAGGGCTGTCCTATGGGTTATGTTATGGGGCAGGGCTGTGCTATGGGGCAGGGCTGTCCTATGGGTTATGCTATGGGGCAGGGCTGTGCTATGGGGCAGGGCTGTCCTATGGGTTATGATATGGGGCAGGGCTGTGCTATGGGGCTGTGCTATAGGCTGTGCTGTGCTATGGGGCAGGCCTGTGCTATGGAGCAGTGCTATGGGGCTGGGCTGTGATATGGGGCTGTGCTATGGGCTGTGCTGTGCTATGGGGCTGTGCTATGGGGCAGGGCGGGATGTGTGGGGCCGGGGCCAGCCCTGGCCCTGTCCCGGCGGCAGCGCCAGCGGTGACGTGCTGTGGTTTCACCCACTTCCGATGCGATCCCGTGTTTAATGTGTGTGTGCGGCATCGCCATGGAGACCAGCCACGGGGAAACTGAGGCGCAGGCTGCACTATGGTGCACGGGGCTGCGCTATGGGGCACACAGTGCCCTCGCTATGGGGCACATAGTGCTCTCACTGTGGGGTACATAGTGCCCTTGCTATGGGGTACATAGTGCTCTCAGTATGGGGTACATAGTGCCCTTGCTATGGGGCACAGAGTGCCCTACTATGGGGCACATAGTGCTCTCACTATGGGTTACATAGTGCCTTTGCTATGGAGTACGGAGTGCCCTTGCTATGGGGTACATAGTGCCCTTGCTATGGGGTACATAATGCCCTCGCTATTGGGCACATAGTGCTCTCAGTATGGGGTACATACTGCCCTCGCTATGGGGCACACATTGCACTCGCTATGGGGCACATAGTGGCATCACTATGGGGTGCATAGTGCCCTCAATATGGGGCACACCTCACCCTCGCCATGGGGCACATAGGGGCATCACTATGGGGTGCATAGTGCCCTCAGTATGGGGCACACCTCGCCCTCGCCGTGGGGCACGGAGAAGGTCACCCACAGCCGCCTTCCCCCCATGGGGCAGCCCCACTACCGGCGGGGGGGGGTCCCGCAGGCGCCCCTCATGTGGGGCAGCCCCGAAAGGGTGCGGAGCGGCGGCGGGCGCAGGCCCCGCCCCTCCCGGCCGCGGCCTCCGGGGCGGAGCGAAGCGTTTAAAAGGGATCCCCCTGCGTGGAGGAAAAGTCGGAGCCTGCGAGCGCGGCGGAGCCCCGGTGAGTACGGGCCGGGCCGGGGCGAGGGTCGGGGCTTGGCCGGGCCGAACCGAGCGGCGCCGAACGCCTCCGAGCGCTGCCGAACGCCTCCGAGCGCTGCCGAGCCCCTCCGAACGGTGCCGAGCGGAGCCGAACCGCTCCGAACGATGGCGAACCGCTCCGAGTGGTACCGAACGGGTCCGAACGGTGTCGATCCACTCTAACGGGTGCCGAATTGCTCCGAGCGGTACCGAGGGCTCCGAACGGTGCCGAACCTCCCTGACGGGTGCCGAACCGCTCCGAGCGGTACCGAGAGGTTCCGAACGCTGCCGAAAAACCCTGATGGGTGCCGAAAGGTGCCGAACCGCTCCGAGCGGTACCGAGGGGCTCCGAAAGCTGCCGAACCGCTCCGAGCAGTACCGAGGGCTCCGAACGGTGCTGAACCGCTCCGAACGGTACCGAGGGCCCCGAACGGTGCCGAACCGCTCCGAACGCTGCCGAACCGCTCCGAAGCCCCCGAGGCTCGCGTCCGGTGCGTCCCGAAGCGCCGTTTCGGCCGGTTCCGGAGGGGTTTCGGGTGCCGTCCCCCGTCTCCCCCCCCCCGTCCCGGCCGGGGCGTTGGTGCCGCCGCGGTGATTCATCCTTTCCCCCCGGCGCTGCGTGTGCCGACGGGCGCGGACGGGGCGGCCCCTCCCGGCCCCCGCCTCCGCCTTGGCACCGGCACCGCCGGCGCCTCGTGTCCCCCCGCGCTGCCCCACACACGCGCACGGAGCGGGGGGGGGCAGCCCCACAGCGGCGCCTCCGCCCCATAGGAGCCGGTTGGTGCGGCCCAACCGGCAACGCCCCGGCCCCGCCGGCGGCTCCTGCTTGGGTTCAGGCCAAAGGGGGCGCCGGGGACCCCGTCCCGCCCCGCTCGGCTCTGTTCGGCCCCGCTCGGCTCTGTTCGGCTCCGTTCGGCCCAGCTCGGCGCCGCCGCCCCGTTGGCAGCGCCGCTGTGTTGATGCCGTCGCCGCCGCTGTTGATCCAGATTTTCTTGGTCCTTTTCCACCCGAATCCCTTTGAAGTTGCCCCGTTGCCGTGGCGACGGTGATGTCACGGCCGGGGCGGGGCCTCGGCGGCTCCCACATGGCGCCCGACGGCCCCGGCCCCATTACACGCTGCTTCCAGGAACTCGCCCACCGACGGCGGTGGCGACGGCTGCCCAGCGATGCCCCATGGCACCCTATGGCTGCCCCATGGTACCCATTGTACCCTGTGGGTGCTTCATGGTGCCCCATTGTACCCTATGGGTTCCCTATGGCTGCCCCATTGTACCCTATGGGTGCCCTATGGCAGCCCCACAGCCACATCTATAGGGACACGGGGGACACCACCGGAGCCTCGACACCAATATCCTCTGCCTGGCTGGGGATACCAAGCCCCATGGCTGCCCCACGGTGCCATATGGCTACATCCATGGGGACACGGGGGTCCTGGCACCAGCATCTCTAGAGCCTTGATGCCGCATCCCCTCTCTGCCTGGGCACACCAATATCTGCCCCACATGCACAGGGGGGTCTTGGCGCCACTGCTCAGCCCTCCCAGCCGTGCCCGGGCGCGTCCCGGCTCTCACGTGGCGGCGCCGATGGCACCAGCCGGTGCTGGCACGTGCCCGCGCCATGACTCAGCCTCGTGCGCCCGCACCGGGGCGGTGCCCATGGCTGTGGCCGTGTGTGGCCATGTCCATGTGTGTACATGCCGATGTGTCCATGTGTGTATGTGTGTGTCCATGTGGATCTGTGTCCATGTCTGTCCCTGTGTGTTCATGTAGATCCATGTCCATGTGTGTCCATGTAGATCCGTGCCCGTGTGTGCCCATGTGGATCCATGTCCATGTGTGTCCATGTCTGCCCCTTGTGTGTCCACCCCTCCACCCACAGCCCCTGTGCCCACAGACCTGCCCCATTGCTGCCACTGGAGGGGGAGGGTTACGGTACACCCCCCTCGCCCCCCCCGCTGCCGCTCACCGGGGTTCCTGGCGATGCGATTTTTTACCATTTCTGCCCAAAATCACATTGCCAGGGATTTCCAACGGGCGCCAGCACCGCCGCCGGGATACACCGGGAATACCGGGATGCACACCGGGAACAGGAGCCGTGGGGTAGGGCTTAGCCCACATGTGAACAGCGTTGGCATCGGGTCGTGTTCACAGTGGCTAAGTTCCGCTCCCCGGCGCTCACCGGACACCAGGATCTGCACCGGGACACTGAGATCTGCTCCAGGACACCGGGATCCCCCCCCGGGCGCTGCCTCCTGTGCCTACTGAGCTGATTTGCAGTTGCTTTGGTTAAACTGGCTCAGTTCAGCAGGAACAGGAGTCTGGGCTGAGCGCCGGCAGCTGCCAGGGACCCCGACCCCCCCAGCACCCCAAAACCCCCCTCCAGGACCCAAATTCCTTCCCGAGGACCCCAAAACCCCAACTGGGATCCCCAAGTCCCCCCCGGTGGAGCCTGCCCAGCCCCACCCCGAACCTACCCTTGGGGGGCCCCAAAAGAGGGGGGAATTCCCCCCCCCCAAGCCAGCTCTGGTGGAAGCAATGGCAGTAGGGGGTGAATGGGGGTCACGTGGGAGGGGGGGGTAACGCCCCTTACCCCTTCTCAATAAAGATCCTTTTTCCGTTTTTCCCTGTTTGTTTCCCAAAATAACCCGGATTTCAGGGAATTTCCCTGACGTCATCGCTGTGGGAGGGGCTTCGGCACCGCCCCAACAGGCCCCGCCCTACCCGGACGGGGGGGAGGGGTGTTTGCCCACGTGTCCCGCCCCCCCATAACGAGACTCGGCCCCTTTAAGAGCCTCTCCCTCCACCCACCAGCAGGAGTCAATCACCCGGGGGCGGGGCGCGCCGCAAGCGGCGGCAGCCAATCAGCGCCCAGGGGGCGTGACCTCGGGTTTCCCATCCATTCATAAAAGTCTCGTGGGTGAGGCATGAACGAAGCGGGGGGGAGTGGGCGGAACTGGGAGCCCCGAACCCAACTCTGGGCCCCTCCTGACGTCAGCCTGACGTCACCAGCCTCGGAGGAGGGGTTCCCCCACAAAATGCCTTTATTAAGACAACGGGCAGCGATGGGGGGAGGGGCTCAGGCCCGCCCCTTTTTGGCCTTGCCCTTGGCGGGGGAGGGGCGCTGCGGTAGGGGAGGGGCGGTGCCCGCGCGCTGCCGCGCGTCCCGCTCGATGCGCGCGCGGATCCCGACCTCGAGCTGCTGCAGGGGGGAGGGGAGAGGGGGTCAGAGGTCAGGCATGAGGAGGGGGAGGGGCACCGCGGCCCCACCCCCCCTCCCTCATCCCCTCCCCCATTCACCTTCTTCAGCTTCTGCTGCTGGATCACGCGGAGCTTCTTGGGCGCGATGGCGCGGCCTGGGGGCGGAAGGGTCGGTGGGGTCCGTCCTGCTCCTCCCCCTCCATAGGCCCCAACCCCCCCCCTCCCCCCCCCGGTCTCACCTCCCTTCCGCGGGCCCCGGTTCCCGGTTGCCGCCGTCGCCTGCCGGGGCCGCTTGGCCGCGGCCTTGGGCCTGCCCTGCGCCATGCTGCCGCCGCTTCCGGGTTCCCGCCCGCGCAAAGCACGCCGGGACATAGAGAGGGACGGCGCCAAGCACGCCGGGATGCAGCCGAGCGCTTTACTGCCCCCCAGCGGAGTGCTCCGCCAACGCGCGGCTCAGCTCCCCAGGGGAAACCACCCCCCACTCGGTGACGACACCTCCCGTGATGAGGTCATGTGGCGTGACGTCAAACGCAGGGTTCCACACGTCGATACCTGGAGATAGCGGGAAACGGCGTCATGGGGATCCCCTGACCCACGTGGACCCCCCTCATTCCGTATATGGGACCCCCATTCTCTATATGGACACTCTGCCCCACATGGGACTCTATCTTATATAGGAACCCACCTGCCCCATATAAGACCCCCAGGAGGCAATGGGAACGTCCCTGTCTCATACAGGACCCCACACCCTATGGAATTCTCACTCCATTTGGGACCCTTCCAAACCCATATGGGAGCCCCCTCCCCTATATGGGACCCTCTGCTCCATATGAGACCTCTGCGTTCCTTATAGGACTCCCTCCAAACACGTAGGGAACCCCCTGACCTGTAGGGTTTCCCTTTGCCATGTATGGGTTCCCCTTATCATGTATGGGACCCCTTGCCCCATACAGGCACCCCAGGCCCATGAGCACCCTATGGGGCACGCACCGGGGGGCGCCAGGCAGAGCCCCTGCAGGTGGGTGAGCTCCCGGCCCGGCCTCTCCTCGATGGGGATCTGGGCCCCACTCGGCAGAGCGGGGTCACAGCTCGAGCTCGGTGCCGCCACGTAGAAGGGGACCTGGTGGTGCCGCGCAGCCACTGCCAGCTGGAATGTCCCAATCTTGTTGGCCGTGTCCCCATTGGCGGCCACGCGGTCGGCTCCCACCACCACAGCTGCAGCCAGGGGACACCGCACAGTCAGTGCGTGGGGCCCTGTCCCATTGCCATCCCCATCCCACCTCCATCCCCAACCTTAGTCCATCCCTATCCCAGCTCCATCCCTGTCCCATTGCCATCGCCATCCCGGCACCATCCCCATCCCAGCACCATTCCATTGCCATCCCCATCCTGGCTCCATCCCCTTCCCCACTCCAGCTCCATTCCAGCTCCATCCCCATCCCGGCTCCATCCTCATCCCCACTCCATCTCCATCCCAGCTCCATCCCAGCTCCATCCTTATCCCCATTCCATCCCCATCCCAGCTCCATCTCCATCCCAGCTCCATCCCCATCCCTGCTCCATTCTCATCCCAGCTCTATCCCTATACCCATTCCATCCCCATCCCATTGCCATCCCCATCCCATTGCCATCCCCATCCCATTGCCGCCCCCCCTCCTGGCTCCATCCCCATTCCAGCACCACTCCTATCCCCATCAATCCCATCCCCGTCGCGGTCCCTCCCGACTCTCACCATCCACCCCGTGCTCCCTCATGGCAGCAGCGGCAGCGCTGTCAGTGATGAGGGTGACGGGGATGTTGTCGTGCAGCAGCTCGAAGGCCGTCAGGCGGCTGCCCTGGTTGTAGGGCCGGGTCTCGGTGCATAGCACCCTCCGCAGCCGGCCCTGCCCGTGCAGTGCCCGCACAATGCCTGCGGCGGGCAGTGGGGAGCTGCAGTCAGTTTGAGGGGGGGTATTTGGGTTGATGGGGGTGTATTTGGGGTGCTGGGGGGGTATTTGGGTTGCTGGGGGGGCTCGGGGTCCTACCAAGTGCAGTGCCGTAGCCAGCCGTGGCGAGGCTCCCGGTGTTGCAGTGGGTGAGGACGGTGACGGTGGCACCGGCGGGGACGCGGCGCAGGATGTCCCGGGCCCCATGAGCCCCAATGCTCTCGTTGTCCTCTCGGTCCTTGGCCAGGAGCCCTTCAATGTGCTCAATGATGCTGGGGGGTGGGGAACGAACCTGGGTAGTAAACACCGCCCCCCCCCCATCCCAATAGCTCCCCCTGCACCCCAACACCCTCCCAGGGATCCCAATACACCCTTAGCACCCCAATAGCCCCCCATGCACCCCAACACCCTCCCAGAGATCCCAATACACCCTTAGCACCCCAAGAGCCCCCCCTGAACGCCAACACCCTCCCAGGGATCCCAATACACCCTTAGCACCCCAATAGCCCCCCACACACCCCTTGGGGGACCCCAATCCCCCCCCCGTTCGTGCCCCTACCGCTCTCGCAGCTCCGGGGCCGTGATCCCGGGGCTCCGGCTCCATTCCCGCAGCCGCTCCCGCAGCCGCTCGGCCTCACGGTGCAGGTTCACCGCCGTGGGTCGCGCCGTGAGCAGGAACCGGAGTCGCTGCTCCACGAAGGCCTCCAGGGCCGCGACCCCATCCCCGGCCCCGGCCCCGGCCGCCAGCTCCAGCGCCAGGCTCAAGCATCCAACCAGCGCGATCGCGGGCGCTCCCCGGACCTGCGGCACCGTTGCTGTCACCCCGTGTCCTCCCCCCTAGGGGTTCTGGGGTCCGTGCCCCCCCCAGGTCACCTCCATGCTGTTGATGGCCTCCCAGGCGCGCTCCGCTCCCTCCACCCGCTCATAGCGGAGCTGCTCCGGCAGCAGGCGCTGGTTGAGGATGGAGAGGGACCCACGCCGGTACCGGATGGACTCCAGCGCCATGGCGCGGGCGGAGCTCGGGCTTCCTCTCCCCCCTACCCCGCATGGCCGGAAGGAGCCGAAGGTGGGGGGGATCCCCCGTAGTGACCATGGTGGCACCGAGCAGTGAAAGGGGCCGTGCTGCTGCCAACGGCTTTTAATGGGGGGGATGAACCCGGGAGGGGGGATTGACAAAGGCGGGGGGGGCGCTGGAGCAGCCCCGGGGGAGGTCCCTGTCCCCCTCAGGAGCTGTCGGAGCTGGAGTCGGAATAATCAGCAACCAGGGACGTTGTGGGGGTGCTTTGCCAGCCCCCCCCGTGCTCAGCCCCCCCCCGGGGCTCCGCGCTGTGCTTTGGGGGGGTGCCGGCAGGGGGGTCACCCCTGCGGATGATGCCGAGGGTGCTGCGGGTAGGGGGGGGGGTCCGCGGTGTCCCCCCCCCCGGCGCCGGTTTCCGTGGGGGGTCTCCGGTGGCCGCGGGGAACCAGGGCCGGGAGGAGATCTCGGTGCGCTTCTGCCTCTGCTTGTCCTCGTAGGCTGGGGGGACACGGGGGGGTCACACACACATGCAGGGGGGGAGGGTCACACAGGGACAGGGCCCCCCCGCGGTCCCCCACGCACAGAGCGGGCTCTGCAGCGCCAGCAGCGCCGCCACCCGCCGGTCCTGCGGCTCCTCCGGTAGCAGCGCGATGCCGAGCCCCGGGCGAGGCTCCTCCCGCGGCGGCTTCTGCTCCTGCGGGGGGAACCGGAGCGGCTGCGACAGCGACGGCGGCAGGGAAGGGACAGCGCCAGTGTGGGGATATGGGGCAAGGGACATCCCTCCCACTATGGGGATACAGGGACAGGGACATCCCTCCCAGTGTGGGAACACAGGGATAGGGTCATCCTTCCCAGTATGGGGATATGGGGATAGGGACATCCCTCCCAGTGTGGGGATACAAGGGTAGGGACATCCCTCCCACTATGGGGATACAGGGATAAGGACATCCCTCCCACTATGGGGATAGGGACATCCCTTCCAGTGTGGGGATACAGGGATAAGGACATCCCTCCCACTATGGGGATAGGGACATCCCTCCCAGTGTGGGAACACAGGGATAGGGTCATCCTTCCCAGTATGGGGATACGGGGATAGGGACATCCCTCCCAGTGTGGGGATACAGGGATAGGGTCATCCCTCCCACTATGGGGATATGGGGACAGGGACATCCCTCCCAGTATGGGGATACAGGGATAGGGACATCCCTCCCAGTATGGGGATACAGGGATAAGGACATCTCTCCCAGTGTGGGGATACAGGGATAGGGTCATCCCTCCCACTATGGGGATATGGGGACAGGGACATCCCTCCCAGTATGGGGATACAGGGGCAGGGACATCCCTCCCCACGCAGTCACTGGTGCGCACTGGTCTATGCTGGTGCGCACTGGGGTGCGCTCGCAGCGCTCACCCGGAAGTGGCTCCGCAAGCGGCAGTTGATCCCAAAGTCGTCCTTCCAGAGGCTCTGGAAGTGCTGCAGCGCCGCCAGCCCCGGCCCCGCCCGCTCCCGGCATTCCCGGTCCTTGGCGCCGTGCTCCAGCCGGAACATGGCATCGGATGCCAGCCGCTCCCGTGCCTCCCGCTCTGTGGACACGGGCACCACTGCTGCACTGGGAGCACTGGGGGGACTGGGGGCACTGGGACTTACCAGTGGCACTGTGCAACTGGTGTTATTGGTGTAACTGGGACTCACTGCTGGCACTGTGTGACTGGTGTTAGTGGTGTTACTGGTGTGCCTGGGCTCACCGGTGGCACTGTGTGACTGGTGTAACTGGGACTCACTGGTGTTACAGTGTGACTGGTGTTACTGGTGTCATTGGTGTTATTGGTGTTACCGGTGTAACTGGGTTTGCCGGTGACACTGTGTGACTGGTGTAACTGGTGTCACTGGTATTATTGGTGTAACTGGGACTCACCGGTGGCACTGTGTTACTGGTGTCACCGGTGTAACTGGGACTCAATGGTGTGTCTGGGCTCACCGGTGGCACTGTGTGATTGGTGTTACTGGTGTCACTGGTGTTACTGGTGTAACTGGGACTCAATGGTGTGTCTGGGCTCACCAGTGGCACTGTGTGACTGGTGTTACTGGTGTCACCAGTGTTACTGGTGTAACTGGGAGTCACTGGTGTGCCTGGGACTCACCGGTGGGCAGCACTTGCTGGTTCTCAGCCATGTCCCAGCGCTCCTCCTTGCGCCGGGCACCGCTGACGATTACATAGTCGCATCCCGCGGGATCCGTCTGCAGCTCGATGTGGTTCACACACAGGTGGCACTTCATCCGGAACCTGAGCAGGGCCACGCGGGGACAGGGATGGACACAGGGACAGGGATAGGGATGGGCACAGGGACAGGGATGGGCACAGTGACAGGGATAGGGACAGGGATGAGGACAGGGATAGGGATAGGGATGGGCACAGGGATGAGCACAGGGATAGGGATGGGCACAGGGATAGGGATGGGCACAGGGATAGGGACAGGGATAGGGATGGGCATAGGGATAGGGACAGGGATGAGCACAGGGATAGGGACAGGGATGGGCACAGGGATAGGGATGGGCATAGGGATAGGGACAGGGATGAGCACAGGGATAGGGACAGGGATGAGCACAGGGATAGGGACAGGGATGGGCACAGGGATAGGGACGGGCACAGGGATAGGGATGGGCACAGGGATAGGGATGGGCATAGGGATAGGGACAGGGATGGGCACAGGGATAGGGATGGGCACAGGGACAGGGATAGGGATGAGCACAGGGATAGGGACAGGGATGGGCATAGGGATAGGGATGGGCACAGGGATAGGGACACGGATAGGGACAGGTCCCACCTGTAGATGGGTGTTGTGTAGTAGTTTCCAACCTTCGTCTTCTCTGCATTGTAGCGGACGCCTGGAGCAGGAGGGGGATCAGACCCAGCCCCATCCCAGGAATGCTAAGGCTGGGAATGCCGGGGTCGGACTCACCCATTCCAATGTGGTTCTTGCAGCCATCACACCAGATGTTAAAGGGCATCTCGAACCTGGCAGGGGGGACACATACACACGGTGTAGGGATGTCACCAACATGCCCCCGTGTCCCCAGCCCCCTCCATGGTGTCCCCACGGCCCCCCCGTGTCCCTACCTGATGACCAGGATGCCCTGTGCCAGCTTCCGAGCACGCTCCCGCAGCGGGTGGCTCCCATGGTACTTGTTGAGGGAGCGGTGCTGGGGGGAAACATGAGGGGGGGGTCAGCAGGAGCCAGGGAACCCCCCCCAACTCCCTGACACCCCCAAAACACCCCCCAAACACCCCCAAGGCCCCCCTGAGGCCCACCTTGGCCGGGTCGAAGTCAGGGGGATAGTACTTGTTGGTGCCCTTGCGCTCACCCTAGGGAGAAACAGGGATCAGAGCCCCATGGGGACCCCATGGGGACCCCACAGTGGCCATGGGGTGGTCACAGAGGTCACAGGGAGGTCCTGGTGGTCCCGTTGGGGTCCTGGTGGCCACACTCACCATGGTGCAGGATCTCTGGTGCCACCAGACTGGGACACACGGAGCGAGGGGACAAGGAGCTATGGTAACAGGGGAGGAAATGGGGGTCTCCCAGTCTGAACTGGGACAGGGGACACCCCCGTAAGGACATGGGGATGGGGACACCCCATTACCAGCTATGGACACCCCGTTACGGGCTACGGACACCCCATAAGGGGCTACGGGTACCCAGTTACGGGCTATGGGACCCCATTATGGGCTACGGACACCCCATTAGGGGCTATGGGGACCCAGTAACGGGCTATAGGACCCCATTACGGGCTTTGGACACCCCGTTACGGGCTATGGGGACCCCGTTAAGAGCTATGGGACCCCATTACGGGCTACGGATACCCCATTAGTGGCTACGGGTACCCAGTTACGGTCTACGGGACCCCATTACGGGCTACGAATACCCCACTGGTGGCTACGGGTACCCAGTTACGGTCTATGGGACCCCATTACGGGCTATGGACACCCCGTTACGGGCTATGGGGACCCGATCCCGCCGCTCGCCACCCACCTCTTCCGCCTGCGCTCCCGTTGCCCCGCCCCTTCCGTTTGCGTCACTCCGTAGCCGTAAAAGGAGGCGTGGCCCGTCCCCGGCCCTCCCCTCCCGCAGCCCCGCGCATGCCCTGTCAGCGCCGCAGCGCGGTCACCTGCGGCCGCCCATGGCAACGGGGCTCAGGGCCGGCCCCCCCCGCCCCAGCAACGGGTTACTATGGCAACCGAGCCCATGGCAACCAGGCCCATGACAACCAGGACCCCCCACCCCAGGGGTCCCCGCGGCTGTTCTACCCCTTCCCACCACCCCCCTCCGCCGCTGTCCTCAGGTGACCCCGTAGCTGAGGGCAGCGTTGTGCACATGCGTGTGCAACTGCCTCACACATACATGTGCACCACCTTGACGCGCGTGTGCAACCACCTCTCACATACATGTGCACCGGCTTTACATGTGTTTGCAACCACCTTGCACATACATGTGCACCAGCTTTACATGTGTTTGCAACCGCCTTGCACATATATGTGCATCGCCTTTACACGTGTGTGCAACCACCTCGCACATACATGTACACTGCCTTTACACATGTGTGCAACTGCTTTGCACATACATGTGCACCACCCTTACACGTGTGTGCAACCACCTCACACATACATGTGCACTGCCTTTACATGTGTTTGCAACCGCCTTGCACATGCATGTGCACTGCCTTTACACGCATGTGCAACTGCTTTGCACATACATGTGCACCATCTTTACATGTGTGTGCAACTGCCTCGCACATACATGTGCACCACCTTTACACATGTGTGCAGCCGCCTGGCACATACATGTGCACTGCCTTTACACATATATGCACCATGGCACCTAAACGGGGTCACCAGGATTATCCTCCCCAGGAACCCCTTCCCCAGGGATGGGCAGAACCGGGTGACCTGGCACAGTGACACCATGGCACGGTGACACCACGGCAGCGTCACCAGGGCACGGTGACACCACAGCTCACTGCCACTGCCGGTCCACAGGGCCTCCCACTGGGGACAGGTTACAAAGGGACCCCCCCAACCTTTCTGGGACTTTGTGCACCCCAGTTTGGGTCCACGGGGGGACACCGGGGTGTCACCGTCCCACTGTGGCCTTGCCATGGTGCTCCTGAGTCCCAGGGAAGCTCCAATGTGTCCCCATGGACCAACAGATGCCACAGCATCCCCATCCCATCTCTGTGGCATCACCACGGCGCCAGCTCCAGCTCCAGCTCTGAAGCCACAAACCGGCCTCGGACATGGTGTGACCAGAATGACACAACCGGGACATCCCATCTCTGCGGTGTCACCGGATGCATCCGGCTTTTCCCTTCTCCTGCTCCTTCCATCTCCCCCCCCAGCCCCGGAGACCCCCCCATCCGGCAGCACTGGCAGCTGAGCCCGGTTGTGGCCGCACCGGCTGCCGGCACTGCGGGACGTCCATCTGCACCGGGCACCTGCTGCCAGGACATGGGGGGGGCCGGGATGCACCGGGATGGAGGGAACCACGTCCCCTTGCGGCGATGGCACTAGCCCCTGGCCTCCGGTGGGGCCCTGCTCTACCGGTGTGCTCTCACCGGGATTTTGGGGTTCCCCAACACCCCGAGGCGATGCCCCCGGTAGCAGGGATAGGGACGGGGCAGATTCGGGGTACGGGGGGAAGTGGGTTAAGGCCCCCCTTCTCTGCACTGGCTTCGTGGCAGAGCAGCTGCAGGGCCGGACAAAAGCAGGGCCGGGACAAAGGCGCTGACGTCAGGCACGGGGCTGGGGGCACCAGGCGACCTAGTTCCAGGCAATGGACAATGGACCCCCCTTGCCATGGCCACGGTGTCCCCACCCGCCATCCCCCCCCACGCTGTGTCCATGCGCAACTTCACACGTGCCCGTGCAGGCCTTCACATGTGCGGGTTCACACCTTCAAATGTGCCCCTGTACAGCCCTGGCTCTCCATGCCCATGGCTCTGCACACAGGAGGCTCTCACCCCTGGGGCTTTGCACACCCGTTCCACACCCGGTTGTGAACACCTGTTTTCGAGCACCCATTTTTGAACAACCGTTTTTCCACACTCATTTTTGAACACCCGTTTTTCCACACCCGTTTTTGAACACCTGTTTTTGCACACCCATTTTTGAACACCCGTTTTTGCACACCCGTTTTTGCACACCCATTTTTGAGCACCCGTTTTTGCACACCCGTTTTTGCACGTCCGTTTTCCACACACATTTTTGAACACCTGTTTTCAACACCCGTTTTTGCACACCCGTTTTTGTACACCCGTTTTTCAACACCCCTTTTTGAACACCCATTTTTGCACACCCTTTTTTTCCACACCCGTTTTTGAACATGCGTTTCGCAGCCGTTTTTACCCGCCTGCAGCCCCCCCTTCCATTCCATTCCATTTCATTCCATTCCATTCCCCCCCCGCCCCGCTCCATCACCGCGCTCATTTGAGCCTTCCCGGGGCGGCGGAGGAGGAGGAGGAGGAAGAGCCCCGCGGGCAGGGGGGGAGCGGGAGCAGAGGCAGGAGGAGGAGGAAGAGGAGGAGGAGCAGCAGCAGCAGCAGCATCGCGGAGGCTCTGCCGCAACCCGGGCCGATGGGCTCCACCGCCCCGCTGCTACCGGGGGGCTGACGGCGACCCCCGGTGCCAAGGGGGGGCCCCTCTCCGCCGCTTCCCTCCCTCCCTCGCGCCGCTTGGATCCTTTGGGAATTGCTTCTTTTCTTGGGGGGGACGCGGATTTTTTGGGTGCCTTCCCCCCTTGGCGCAGCCGCCGCCCCCCCCTCCTTGCTCTGCATCGGGGCCCTTCAACCCCCCCCCCCAACCCCCCTCCGTCGCACCGGGAGCCGCAGAGCGGGACCCCCCTCCATCCTCCGCTGCTACCGGAGCGGGGGGGGGCTGCGCGGCGGGAGGATGCTCGGGCCGGTTCCCGCTGCCCCCGGCCCCGCCGCCGCCTGAGCGACCCGCCCCCGGCCGGGACCGGGGGGTCCGGCCCCCCCCCCAAATTGCTTTATTTCTCCGCCTCCCCCCCCCCATGGGATGTGATGAGCTCTTCGCCGGTGCCGGCCTCAGCAGCGTAAGCCCCGGGTGCCGCTCTCCGTCCGCACAATGGCTCGTTTCGGGGATGACATGCCGGTACCGGCCCGTTACGGGGCAGGAGGCGGCCCCGGGGCCTCGGCGGCCGGTCGGGGTGCGGGGGGCCCGCGGCAGGGCGGCCCCCCCGGGGCTCAGAGGATGTACAAGCAGTCGATGGCCCAGCGAGCCCGCACCATGGCTCTCTACAACCCCATCCCCGTGCGGCAGAACTGTCTGACCGTCAACCGCTCCCTCTTCCTCTTCAGCGAGGACAACGTGGTGAGGAAATACGCCAAAAAGATCACCGAATGGCCATATCCTTTTGGGGGACTCCCCTCGCGGTATTGGTATGTCACCCGCTCCCCGGCACCCCGCACCCTAGCCCCCGGCCCCAGCACCCTGCCCTGTGCTGGGGTCTTCATCCCTGTGCCCTGCATTGAGGTCCCTCTCCCCATCCCTATGCCCTGCATCAGTTCCTGTCCCCGTTTTGGGGTCCCCATGTGCTACACTGGGGTCTCCATCCCTATGCCCTGCACCAGGTTCCTGTCCCCATTTCAGAGTCCCCATGTCCTACATTGGGGTCTCCATCCCCATGCCCCACATTGGGGCCTCCACCCCCATGCCCCACATTGGGGTCTCCATCCCTGTGCCCTGCACCAGGTTTCTGTCCCCATTTTGGGGTCCCCATGTCCTACATTGGGGTCCCCATCCCTGTGCCCTGCACCAGGTCCTTGTCCCTGTTTCAGGGCCCCCATCCCCATGCCCTGCACCAGGTTTCTGTCCCCATTTTGGGGTCCCTATCCCATGCTCTGAATTCAGATCCCTGTCCCCTTCTCCCTGCCCTTCATTGGGGTCCCTGTCCCCCTGCCATGAATTGAGGTCCATGTCCCTGTTCTGTGGTGTCCATCCCCATGCCCTGCACCAGGTCCCTGTCCCCATTTTGGGGTCCCTATCCCTATATCCTGAATTGGGGCCAGTGTCCCCTTTTCCCTGCCCTGCCCTGTCCCCCTGGCATGAATTGGGGTCCCTGTCCCAGTGATGGGGTCCCCATCCCATGCTCTGCATTGGGCTCTCCACATCCTCGTCCCTTACCAGCTTCCCATCCCCCTACTGGGGTTCCTATCCCCATATCCTACACCATGTCCCCATCCTGGGGGTAGGGGGACCCCATTGCATCAGCTTCTTCCAGTGTCTTAATTGGGAGGGGGGGTGGGGGTGGGGGTGGGGGGATTGACCTGGCATCCCCCAGTGCCAGCAAAGCTGATCTCCATCACCCCGGGGGTCTCCTGGACTCGGGGTGTCCCCAGGAGGGACTCATTGAGTTTTTGGGGGGGCGTGAGGCCGTTTTGGCTTCCAGAAAGGGCCATTGACACCGCAAAAGGGCCATTATCACCCCAAAAGGGCCTTTGACACCCATAAGGGCCACTGTTACCGCCAGGAGGGCCCTGCGCCGCCGTCCGGGGGGCACCGCTCGGTTTTGGGGTGCTGCCGAGGGAGCAGCCGGTTTGCCCCCGGCTCTGACCCACACCGAGGTCCCCCCAAAGCCGGAGGCAGGGTGGGGATTTGGGCCGCCGCTGTGCCGATGGGGCCGCTGCCGGCGCAGCACCGAAATGTCGGGGCCGGTGCGGCGCCGGTGCCGCCGGTGCGGGGACGCGAAGGAGCCGGTGCGTGGCCACGGCCGTGCCGCAGCAGCGCCGGCCCGGCCAGAGCATCCCACGGGCAGCGGCCCCGCGTCTGGCACCGAGCTGTGCCGGTGCGGGGGGAAGGGGTGAGCGCGGTACTGCTGCCACATCAGCGGTGCTGCAGCGCGGGGCTGGGCTGCCCCCGGAACCGGGCTGTGCCAGGTCCCTGTGCCGGGGAGCGGGGCTGTGCCAGATAACGGTGCTGAGCCCGGGGCTGTGCCAGGGAACAGGGGCTGGGCGGAATAGCCATGCTGGCTGCGTCG